ATTTCTTTCCCAATTATGAATTGTAATTACACAAGATGTAAACATGAGCTTAAGTGGTTGTAAAACTCTTTCAACACTTGTCACACTATTAATTTAGTAAACTAAATATTTAACTGGGGTGTACATAATTAGGCATCATCTGACTGAAAGATTCTCACAATGTCTTCCTCCTGTCTTTGGACCCATTTTTTTCCCCAAAAGGAGAGAAAAAAGAGACTAAGAGCGATGATACTAATCTCTTTGCCTTTAGGTGTTTATCACACCATGAAAGCCAAACAATTACTCAGGGCTTCCTGGGGTGGGCATGACTGGTAAATAGCAAAATGCTATTTTCTTGGGGAATGTTTTCTTACCGAGTTTCACACCGACAGAGTGAAAACCATTCCTCCCCAGAAGCCGCCCTCCTTCAGAGCACAAATACAAACGAACAAAAAATGACATTATGTTCTTGCCTGCCTGGGGCAGAAAGAATCACCTATTCTTAACAGGACTTCAGGTGTGTGATTTGCTGCCATTTTCCTTCCTTTATTAGATTAGAATGACTGTCCCTTGTAAGAGCAAAGCGATAATGTGGTGCCACTGGGGCACGGGGGCTGCAGAGAGGATGGAGGTGCAGAATGCCTGTAACTTAAGTTGACACATTCTTGCTACACAGGAATTTCAGTCTATTCAGGCAGACATAGGAGAGGAGTAATTAGTTTTTCACTTTTCCAGTCAGATTTTTTTCCCCATAGAAGTCAAACTTCACTAATTAAATAATAGTTAAAAGTGACGCCTCTGTTAAAATGGGACTAGGTTAAGAAAAGGGGTATTATTTTTTTTTACTTCCAATTCTCTGCAGTTTGCTCCAGCCAGCCTAGCTACATCTTGAGTGTTAACATAATTAGGTCTCACAGAATAATGGCCCATTTTACCAGCTATCATTTCAGGTTAATAAAAACATCACATAATTTTAAATGTTACTACTCCACTTTAATTTATCCATCATTTTAAAGGAGCTTTTGGGTGATGGGAGAACATGAAGGGGGGTTGGGGAATGGATTCCAGCATTTATTAAATGCTCAGCCATTTAAATCAAAACAACACCACCTGAAATCATTTATGTCTTTTTGGGAGACTTGTTTCAGGACCAGTTCTAAAAATGTCTCAGAATTTTTCTGCAGGATAGAATGGAGGTTCAGATAGCACAGAGGTGTAACAGATCTGCAATAACTTTTTTAACATAAAATTTTCACAGATGTTATTTTCTCTTTTCTTAGTTAAATGCAATAATACAACTTATACAAGGGATATATCTGTTTCTTAGTTGCTTGACTCTTCAGATGCAAAATGAAGATGGTCACTCATAAGTCACCCCTGATCAGGTATTGTGAAGAGTGAAATTTCTCTATAGTCCCAAGATTTTTGGTGAAAGTTAAACATATGCTAGTGGCATTCTTAATTACTTCTGACATCATATTATGTTTCTGTGCAGTTTACACTGGGAATCTGTTAGCATATACGGTAGATAACCAAAAGGAGGGAACTACTTTGAATGTAAAAAGGTGAAGGATAGTTAGATAAAAGTAAGAATTCTATATGGAGTAGACTGGAACAGTCAGAATATTTGTCCCAGATAATTACTTGACATTTCCTAGAAAGAAAATTGATTGATTAGAATGTAGTCCTGATGCTCTGATCCAAAGATCTTATTTTTCTCAATCAGACCTTTGGATAAAAACTCTAGCGTTGTTCCTTAGCTATATTTTTAATTTGTATCTATCATTAACTCTGTCCAATCTGATTTCCTTAAAAAATCTGAACATTTTACCTGGTAATTCATATTGCTCTAAGGTACAGCTTGGTTGCTACCATCATTGCCAACCATGCTGGTAAAGACTGGAAACAAAAATGGTAGATAATGAATTCTAGCTTAGATTTCTGAAACTGCAGCTTTACATCATACCAGATCATAAACAGATATTGAGTCCCATACACAGCAAACGGATAGAATGTGTAGTTCAGTTTCCTACATATTCTATACAATCCTGTGAGCAGAGATATCATTAAGCAAGTATTTAGTATTTAACAAAAGGTAAAGTGACACAACCTATTTCCCACAGCACTGAGCATCCCATTTCAGAACATGGGGTCAGTCCAACCCCCAAATACTATTATTGATGGTGGAGAGTAAAGGCAAAGGGACAAAAGACCTGATTTCAGGGTTTTCTCACACCTGTCCCAACCCATCCACAACCTCTTACATTCCACTAAGGTCACAGGTCAGAGAAAAGGTGAGGTGGAGCATTAACTGCAGGTAACATTGAACTGTACACCATTTGCCCACTGCCAACCTTTCTTTATGTTGCCTGGGGGAGTTCAGAGATTTGTGCCAGTTCAGAGATTTGATTCAAGGACATCTCATGCAGTATTAACCTGCAGGTAAGGTCCAGGGCAAAAGTAATCCTATAGGCAATATGTCTAAATATTTAAAAGTCATAAAACAAACACACATAGTGTGAAATAAAATATGGCCCATCTTGCCACCTGGGCATAAGTGTTCAAATGATAACTGGAAACGCGGGCATGGGTTAGAATCCCTAGACTGTCAGTGCTGGCCCCTGGCCCTGGGCCATTCCTAGTCTGTCTTCCTCCAGCCCGATACCTACCCCCCGCCCTTTACCATCCCTGACCTCTGGTTTTCACTGAAAGAGGACTCTTCTTGCTCTCAGAACCCTGTGGTCACTCCCCACCCCAGGTCACTAATATCCCCCACATATACTCACCACTTGTCACTCCTTGGACCCAGGGATGTGCACTCAGATGTTGTCTGCCTTCAGGAGTTAGAAGCCCGAAGAGGCACAAACACCCTAAAAGTGGATGGATGATCTCTAGGTAGAGAATTCTAGGTTCTTGATTATTGAGACAAAGCAGGAAGAGGGTCAGAATAAGGCGCCCTTACCCAGTGCTCCTCTTTGCGGAGGCTAAATATCCCCCATACACCCTGGTCCAGGTTCTATACAGGGTCTGAGATGAATCTCCCCCATGTCAATACAAGGCACCCTAATTGCTTTCCTAGGATTCTTTGGACAAAGATTTCTTTGAAGTTTTATGTTCATCAATGATTTTGCTAGAAGGGATCATATTTTGCTCAATGGTGAAGTCGATAAACTCATATGCAGGACTATATTAACCCACCTTAAGGGTTACTCCAGGTAGAGACTGAGCAAGATTTAGAACCTTAAGTATGTGAACAATTTAGTACCCACCTTTCACTCAAGTCCTGCTCTTAAAACATAAAATCATAGATGGAGTCAGCTTTGCAAGAATGATGGAAAAGAGCAGACAAATAAAATCCACTGAGTTGGGCCTTTCTTAAAGGAATAAACCCTTTAGAAGAACTTGTGAATCTAGATTAAAAAGACCATTTCATTTCCATTTGTTATATACCTAAAAGTGAATTTTTATTAAAAGCAGATCACATCACTCCAGGAAATTCAGAAAACTTATCTAAATACACTGAACGCAAGATATTCCTCATCAATTTAGATTCTTATAGCGTCATAAAGATAAAATGCAGATGAATTGATTTAGATCAGGCCTTCATTAAATTTGAGAATTAGCTTTTGGAATCCCACATATTGAAATGTGCAGAGTCTGATTCCTGAGCATTGTAACAAAGCCATGAGTGGAAAATGATAAAGTGCATCGTTGCTAGAAATAACACAGTCTGCCTTTGGTTTGTGTTAATAAACTATAAGACAACTTAAATTCCAATTTTAATATTAGAAATCCACCTCATTATAAATAATCTCAAACTCTGTATGTTATTGGTATTTTCATACGTATTCTTTGGTGCACCCGAAATATAATTTGCTTGTTTATGCTTCTAATGTAAATCTCCAATTTCTGCTTGACCACTCTGGCACTAAGCCAGCACTCTAATTTATCTCCATCTTTTCTTATTTCTTATATCAAAAGAGATTGTTGGTCTGAATAACAAACATTCAATCGACTTGGACGTGGGGTGGCAGGCAGCACAAGCATTACCTGTTTACCTGTTATTGCCTTCTTTGAATTGGCTTTTCTGGGAACAAAACCAATAAGACATGCTGTTCCTTCATCTAGTTTTTACCCAGGTTATTTATCAGAGGACGTTTCCCCCCCATTTCAGCAAGGGGTGGCAGAGGGCAAGGAATTCAGGCTGGATGTAGGTTTCTGACCTAGCACCATCATTGGTTATTGTCATGTAGGATTTCACTGTCCTTAGGACTCTGGCTGGAGCTGATAATTATTTTTGATTCCAGGAGGTGCTGCCAATAATACATTTGTAACCTGTAGGAAAACAGTGTGCTGGGAATGGAATACACACTGTTTTAGCCACTTTGTACTTTGCAATGATTCTCCCCCATTCTCCTCCCCTTGCATCTTGCACAGTAATTGGCCTAATAAAAGGCAGAAATAAGAATTTATTACACCTTGGGCGATACTTAAAACAAACTTTATTCTCAGGAACAGCAGTTATGTCTACTTGCTGCTGTATATTTTGATATTTCCTCTAAATACTTAGTCTGAATATATTCAAAGTCAAATTGCTAATCACTCAATTTCCCTGCTTCTCCCCTGGTTGCCCAGGTTGCCTCTTATGATGCTCCATGTAAACACTGTAATGGGAAAGATACATAGATCGGCACCCCTAGAGTCACATGATCACATCAATCTGTGAAAATAGCATGACTTAAAAATAAAAGTCTCTTAGTACTCTGCCAACAGGCTTTGGCATAATCTTGGCAATCACTTAGATTTTTTTTTTTTTTTTGCTGTTATAATTTTTCCCAAGTGGAAATAGTCTTATATTTTGCAGAAGTTGTCCAAGCTAGTGAGCATCAATCCATCTTCCTGGATACTAAATTCGTCAGCTGAATGTATTCGGTCCACACAGAAATCAGTTAAGTGAGTGTGAAACTGCTTGGTGGCTGCTCCTTTCATCTTAAGAAATTGCAATACAAATTCCTGAAATCGTTTATGCAGGAATTTTTATTCTTTAAATCTTCCAGTGTTAAAGCAACAAGAAAACACTTAGAATGTCCTTTGGTGGAATCTTATTACACTTGTTATATATGTAAACTGATATTCTTTGATGCCAGCACGTTCGTTGCCCTTACAGAGAAATCTCTGCACAATGAAAACAAAACAGAACGAAAAAGGACAAAAGAAAATGTCAGTCTTTGCTGATTTGAATTAGATACATCAACAGATTGTCTGGTAACACAAATTGGCAAGAATACAAAAAATCTACATCTTACAGTATTTCAAGAAAAATAACTTCATTTGAATACAAAAGGATAGATACACTTTCTTTTTTTTTTTCTTTTTTTTTTTTTTTTCCTATAGCCACTCTGGACAGTGGATGTTTGCTCCACCGGGATGACTCTGTGCTGCTAAGATATACGGGGGTATGACTGGCTGGAGCTTCTGGAGGGGGCTGTTACACATGTGCATTACTAACATCAGACAAAGAAATCTTTCAACCAACAAGGGTTACAGAGCAACGTTCACTAAAGCACAGGTTGGAAGGGATTCAGGGACTGAAGCAGGCCAATATGGCAGCTTGTAACAGATTTCCTTATACCCACAACGCACGGCCAGCAAAGGATGCTTCTATTTGGTGGGTCCACACACTGGGCCACGGTGCTGGGGCACGCACCACGTGGAGTAGCAATTTTTTTTTTTAGGTTGGTTGATTTGTTTGTTCGCTTTTGTCTTTCCTGTGGGTGGGGGGCTGCCACAGCCTTTCCCATCAGCAATAAGCTCTGCAGCTGGCCATGTGATTTGCAGTGATAATATCAACAGCTGCCAACTCCTCTGGAGTCAGAAATTAACAGTCTTGACTCGGATGTGCTGTCGACGGCTGATAAATATGGCTTAGTTCAGTTAGGCCTTCTTAGTTTATACACTGTGTCTGAGTGGGGGTGTCTATGTGTGTTTCCTAGGTTAGTAGCAAATGCTTGGGTGGTGCTGGCTTCCCCATGGCACGGGCCGGTCCGGTGGCGGGATGCGGGCCTAGAACACCAGGGGGCTGGAGGTCCCCAGCAGGGCGCTCAGCAGCAGCAGCGCCCAGGGGCCCCTCGGGGGCGCGGCCTGGCCCGACTTGCCGCAGCTGCCAGCCTCCTCACAGCGAAGCTTCTCGCACAGGATGCCAGTGTACGCGGCTGGGCACAGGCAGCGCAGGTTGTTATGGCAGGTGCCTCCGTTCTGACAGTGCAGAAGCTCGTTGTCACAGACATTCGCTGCAGAACGAGGGGGGTAGGGTGGGGGGACGCAGGGAGGAGAAGCAGAATCAATTTAAGTTCATCTGGTACATCATGTTTGCAGCTTTAAAAAGATCTCTATCGATCTGGTGTCCCCTCCCTTCCACAAACTAGGCATGTGACCTCAATTTCCAAACAAACGTAGTTTGCTGCCTTTGTTTTGATTATATTAGTCCATTTCATATAGATTTCTGCTGCAATCTTGGATATTAACATTGTCCATTTCGGGCTATCAAATATAGGGTAATGTAATACTCCATGTGTGGCAGTATCTTCTCCTCATGCAACTGGGACCTGTTGTGACCTCCAGGGTTTTTAAAGGACAATTGCCTGATACAAGAATGCAGAGTTTAGGAGCCAGATGAGTGGTAATTAAAATGCAAAGCAGCATTGCAAAAATGACCAAGAACCTCTAAGGGGTGGGCCATTCTCCCCCACAGGTGATTCCAGCGCTGCATGCAGGGGGACAGGAGCCAGAGGGAAGCACAAGGAGGGAGGAGGGAGGACAGACCAGACCAGGAAGGTAGCATGCTCCAGGCGGGTGCCAGCCAGATTGGAAGAGAGAAAGCTGTTTCACAGGAGGAATGTGAGGAAGAGCAGTCACATTTGCTCCCCACAGCCTATTAGGATATTTATATTTGTAAGATGGGAAGTAGAATCCAAGGTTACCTTGATTTCTGGGAATAGTAATAAATGCAATGGTGAAACCCTGATTACCAAAATTTCACACTGTCCATTAATTAATAGAATTGGATTTAATAAATCAAACAAGTGCAGAGACCAGGATGCGTTCACGGTCCCTGTCATGGAACTTTCATCTCTGATAATTTCTTCAAAATTCTGTTTATCCCCATTAATTTCATGTCTCCTATTCTTTTAGTTAATCAAGGTTTCACTGATTTAGCAGAATGTTAAATAGAACCTAGGGAAATTAAAACAACAACAAAGAGTAAAAGAGCCAAGAACACTTCCCAGCAACATATGCTGCTTAAGCATTTAATATAAGGAATCACTCTATCATGGGAGGAGGGGCAGAGCAGAAAAAGTAGCTTTTTATAAATAATAACATTTTTCATTTTAAAAAAATGTTGTGCTCAAATTTCCTCTGGAGGACCACGTGAATCACACACACACACACACACACACATATATACACACAATTATTACCAAGTGTCAAGTATTAAAAAAAAAATCACCCTCCCGAATAATTCAGCAACTCAATAGAGAATGTTGCCTTGTCCATTAATCATGTTCAGTAGTCATGTCATCTTCAAAAGAAGCTTCTTAGACACAAACATGCTAATGATCTATGTGTAAATGAGCTGAAAAAAAAATGGTGGGGGATGGTCACAGAGTTAATAACCAAGTGCTCTAAACAGGACCCTGTGTTACCACCTTCTACAACAATTCTTTGGAAATCTCTAGCACGGTCTATATAATGTTTTGGCATACTTTTCCAATGCACCCCTACTTGCTACCTGTAAATATTAGAAATAAATTATGAGGACCAACTAAATGCTTCAGTCTCAACATATTGATTTACAAGGTAGTCTTTTTTTTTTTTACAAGGTAGTCTTTTGGGATTCTAATAATGATATAGACTCTCTCTCACTGGGTTGATGAGAAATCATGAGGATTAGACCCAAACTCAGTGTTTTATGCAAAATCTACAAGAATAGAATAGTTAGATTCAAGGTCAAAACTGACAAAAGCCCCTTTTTTTTTTTGGTTGTTAATTTGGAAAGCATACATAGGTTTTCAGGATTTTGTTTTGCTTACACTTCAGGAAATATCTGTTTAATTGGGGCAACATGGAATAAACAGATCCAAATAACTGTTTCCATTTAAAGTTAAAGATTCTTAGCATTTCTTTTTTCAGGAAGCAGATTGCTGAATGGGATATTTCCTTTCATTTGGACTCTAGATGTAAAGAAATATCTGTTCCATCAATATCGATAATTGCTTGCCTTGAATAATTGAGAAGAAATCAATAGTTAATTAAATATCACTCCTCTTTTTTTAAAAAAGTGATTTTTCTTCTTCTTGGACCTGAATGTAAATCAGTTGTTGAAGAGAGGTTTCTATTTTCCCAGAAACTGGTGATTAAGTTAAAATTCAATAACTTCCCCACATTTAAATAATTTACTAGTTGATGTTGATGAAATTTAATAAATATACAAGGAACAGATGTAGCCTGGGATTAATAATCTCATGGATTAGGGGAATATATTTTCTGTAAAAGATAAACAGAAAAAAATCTTAGAATATACTTCATTACTTTACAATTCACAATAAGACACATTTGGTTTCATAGTTGTCCTACAGCTTCAGCAAATAAAGAACTTTGCCATATGCACAGAATTCTCTGTCAGAATCATGTGCTAAAAGCACACCTAAACCTAAAAATAGCTCTTACCTGCTATTCATAAACTTAAGCTCCATCTTCAAGTCATTTTGAACCAAAACTGTGATGCTTAAGAATAATCTAGATGGTTAACAAAAATCATTGAGCTCTTGCTTAAGCATATGAAACCTTCTTCTAAAAACCACAAAGAGAATAAAAGAAATAAAAATCTAATCTCTGCTCTTATGGATTTCAGGTCTGGCTTGGGGGGCGGATAAATATACACATGTGGGGAATGACTGACTAGTAATTTCATGAAAACATCCTTATTAGTTCGTTCTGACGCAAGTAACCTCTGCCATGCAGCAGGTACCTGCTAGATTTTATGGTTGTATCTCTCCCTGCACTAAAGGAGCACACATTTTGGTGGAAAGCAATACAAAAATACAGAAATAACTATGAAGTAATCTACAAAGATGATAAAGGACATTGTTAGGGTAACTCAGATATTGGTGTAAATAGTTTGGGGGAAGATTAGAGAAGATTATAGAAAGGAGACTGTATTTATATAAGGACGTGCATCAGACATATATTGGTAGGAGAGCTTTATGGATGGACAATCTGTATGGATAAGGACAAGGAAAATATGTAAATGCATTGTGCTGGTTATCGAGCTGGTTATTGAGCTGGTTATTGCCATTCTAAATCCACTTTTCCTTTGGAGGTTAAAGCTGGAACCCTGTAAGTTGTCTCAACAGGGAGAGAAGCTTTAGTAGAATCCGCTTTAGTAGAATCTCCCTGAGACTTTCCATCAACCTGGGGACATTCCTTCCTTAGGTGTTTGAGCCCAGCTCCAAGTGACAGCATTTTGGAGGTACTGGCAGCAGTCAGACATTACCTGTCTTCAGAGGCAGAGGTCCCAGTCTGTGGGGTCTCTCCCCGAAACTGCATTTCTAATCGCCCTACCTTCTTCCCTTTGAGCCTTTAGCCCAAGCAAGAGAGTTGCTTCCTGCTTACACAGTGACTGTCTCAGAGCTACTTCAGCATCCTCTTCTCATTTTTAAACAATGAAACACCAGTCTAAGCATTTTCTTTATAAATTCTTCCTGTTGAAAATCTAATGTGGTTTCAGCTTTTTGACTGGAGCGTGAGTGAAAGATGCATGGATTGTGCCAGGGAATGTTGAATAGATAGATGGGGCTACAGTGTTACGTGAGCCTCGGGAAAGCAGAGGCTGGGGAGGTAGAGGGTGGCCTGGCTGTGAAGGTTCTACACAGCAGGGAGGGGATTTAAGGGGAAAAACGGGAGGTGATAGACCAAGGAATGGACAGGCTACAGACAAGAAGCCCTAAAAAGTCATTCAATATTGAAGGTGTTCAATAGCGCGGGCCTGGGCTAGGTCAGAGCAATGGAGAGTTCTAGAGAAGAAGGGACAGATCCAGAGCCATCGTATGAAGTGGCTAAGAGATTTTGAGCTTTCTATTTTGGGTAATTGGATGCATTACGATGTAGTTTATGAAGACAAGAAGAATTTGTTCAGGAAAGAAAAAAATAAATATTTTGGGGAGTTACTGACTTTGCTGGGGAGGGGTGTAGGCTCTTCTGCAAGAGTCCTGTTATTAGCTGGAAAAGCTGGTTACAGCTTCAAGAGGAAGTTCATCCTGGAGTTTCAGATTTGGAGCTGGCGTGATGGTGGTAATTGTGACAAAGGGCGAAAAGAAAGGAACAGAAGAAGAACCTTATTCTGGTAGACTACAGGGTAAGTATAAATGAAGACAGCATATAGAACAGCAAAGTGTAACTGCATATCAGCCATAGAAACAGAAAGAAAGACCAAGAAGGATGCAGAAAAGAAAAGATGTTGAGAAGACAAAGGATCAAATGAGGCCATAAAGTTAAAGAACTTCTTTCTGCTACAGTTGATTGTGTCTAGGAACAAATAGATTGGGAAAGTGTGAGAGAAAGGGCACTTTGAGTTGGGTAAAGGAAATATGCAAAATGAGCGTTGCATGTTCTTGATTAAATCTGAGGGGTAATTAGAAGAAAGAATTGAAAAATTTGAGGAATTGACATTTACTGAAAGGAGGTCTTTGATTGTCACTCTACACTAGTGGTTCTCATCAGGGCATGACTTTGCCTCCCAGGGGACATTTGACAATGTCCGGAGACATTTTTGGTTGTCACACTTGGAGGAGGGCATGCTACTGGCTTCTAGTGGGTTGAGGTCAGAGATGCTATTAAATATCCTGCAATGCACAGGGGAGGACCCCACAATGGTTACTTCTCAATTAACGTGGGAGGTGGAATGATGAAGTCCAGATTACCATAGTGATTAAGATGAGTAGTTGTTTCTTATACATACATATTGTAAAAGAAGAAGGAAGATGCTTCGACCATTCTAGATCAGAGAGACAGGGAATTTTCTGGTACAGAGTCATGGAAATTAGAGTGAGTGTAAGTACTTGAAGTTGAAAGAGAGGAGTGATGATCCTGGGAGAGTAAATACAGAAGTTTGTGGTCTAAGACAGACCTTTTAGGGCTGCTCACAATTTAAGGATAAGAGAAATCCAAATCCCCCCTGTTGTGTCATTTGTGGTGTTCTGCTCTGAGAGACATAGTAAAAACAGAGCTTGAG